TCCCATTTTGGAGTCAAAATTTGGAGTCCATTAAACAGAAGTTTTAGGAAAATATTGATTTCTCTTACAATAAAGACTGCAAATTCTAGTTAAAACAAATAGCCGTTAAAGACATGTCCTTTCACACACGAAAAAATAAATTGTTGTTTATGGGGTATGTTCTGGTTTCCTTTGATAGTGACTTCCCATTGATAGTGACATTGAAGTCACCAGTCCATTAAAAGCTCTAGATAAATACACTAAGTACATCGGTATCTGATGGATTGTATTAAGATCGTGTTTCATTCAAATTGGATGATTTTTTTTATTAAGAAAGTTCAAGTTAAGGCTACGTGACCGACCGCTTTATTCTAATTGTTGCACCTCCGAATTGGCACATAGAAGAAGAATATCTGTTCTAACCGATAATTTGATTTTGGAAGTGTATTTATATTAATAATTTATAAATGTTCTGACTTTAGTCTCTCATGCTGATATATATGACATTATTATTATAATACCTACTCTCGTTAGAACGGATTAATATCAGCTCTTTACGTGCCGCGTTATTGATTGAAAATTCGTTATTAAATCTTACTTAAAGAAGACCCTTGCATAAGTTGTAGAAACGTTTTTAGTTTTATTATTGAAGTTTTCCTCTTCTCTTCCTCTCTCTCTTATATATATATATATATATAGTATTAGATATAATATAAATATATAGTATTATATAGTTACATATATATATATTTTTTTTTTTTTTAATAGAAGTATAACCATACATTAGAATATACTAGAATAAGTTGTACAATAATTTTTATTGTCAGATGGATAGCCCCTGACTATCCTGACTATCTGAGGCAGAAACGTATCTCAAGTTATAATAAACTGGCAAAGCAAAGAAAAATCCTCGTTTCCATATTTTATTCATTATCCTATAAATGCAGCATAATGTCTTGTAAATTTGGAGATCTTCTAGAAGCTCGATGCTTATCATCGTTCGTTATGTATGTAAAAGAGATTAAAGGTTTAAGAGATTAAATTTTTAGATTAACTTCCATAATGTCTTCAAACATTTTGTAATTGGAAGTTATTCCAAAAATTTGAACAAATATTCATTCTAAAGCAAGAAAGCTTGGTTAAAACTTTGTTTAGGATAACAATCTATAGTATGTCAAAGCTATTTATATTTATATCTAGGTAAGCTACCGCAACTATTTGAAATCTCCTACAGTTTTCTTTTCATAGTATCCAATGATGGGGAGTGATACAAGAGATGGAGTGCAGTTTCCTCCTCGAAATGAGTTAGAGTACAGTTTTCTCCTCATTCAAGTTAATAATAGATAGATGTTAATAATAACAGATGAGATACAGTTTTATTCTCCACATAAGTTTGAGTACAGTTTTTTCTTCATTTCAGTCAAATATGACCACTGCGACCGATATACCCAGTTATGCTAGTTATGGTAAACCGTGGGGATCTGCTGGTATAGCTCTTTTTGGGAATGGTAAATAGCACTTGTTCGTCGAAATTTAAAAGTGGGTCCGGGACCCAACTCTAGCCACTTCTGAAACTACGTTATTAGTTAGTTGCTTTCGTTATAGTTGACTGATGTGCTTGTTTTTCTATTTGGATCAATTGAGTCTTGTGATATGACATGAATCTAAGTCTATTTAAACTTTGTAGTTTTGATTAGTTTAAATTTATTTGAATTAAATTAAATATTAATTACTAAATTAAGTTATACTATACTATACTCCACTCTATTGACTTATCTATCGATAAGAAAGTGAACGGATATTATATATAATTTTAATAATTATTTTTTAGGGCCTTTGCGGACAGCATACAACGTCCTTTTGGTGTGCGCTACAATCCCTACACTCAAAGTGTGGAAGTTCTTTCCAACGCACAGAAAATAACTGCTGTTGTTACGGAGCTGAAGGGGGACTTAAGCATCGTCTATTCGGCATTACGTAAAATATCAGCAACCGATGAAAATTTGGATGTGGATTGCATTGCAAATATGCTCTCCCATAGCTTAAATGTGCGTGGAGGTGACAAGAGTCCTTTGAATTCAATAAGCCCCGATAATTCGGATAATTCGCAGCGTTCCTTTGGAGATGAATAAAAAAACTAAATATTAAAAGTTAAAAGTTAAATAGTAATTTATTTGTTAACTTATCGTAAGAGAGAAAATTTATAGAAGGGACCAAATTTACACTTAAACTTAACAAATGATAAGCAAGTATAAAAATGTTTCTAAACTTAATTAATTATTAAAATTTTCTTGTCTATCTTTACGTCTCTATGGTTTACTAGTTATAATTCACAGAATTATGTACTTTTGAGTGTTAACACAAATATATAACCTTATGTATTAAATATAACCTTATGTAATACAAATATATATAAGAAAATTATGTCTTATAACGAAACTTAACATCCGAGAGTTTGTAAAAATTGCTTAAACTAATTAAAAAGTAATCGAGTAGGGAAGCTTAGTAGTTGTATTATTTATTATAGATCATATCACAGTCTCCATCCAGCACGAATTTCTTGCTTATGTAGCCAGAGGAGTAGTCCAACACCAACTTGGGTATAGTCCATATGCTGAAAGCGCCGAGCATTGGTGTGAGTACGCGTTTCAATTTCGGCAAAAGCAGAAACACATCCATTTTTTGGTACCAGGTCTTGGGAGTTTTGGACACTTTTTCTTCCTTGCGTTGGAGCTTCTTCGGCTGTGCCAAGTCCTTAACTTCAACACGTGGTGTGATTTGTATTTGGTCGACTGTTTCGCATACTTCTTCGTTGCTCAAGAGTATGCCAGCTACGATGTACATCATTTTAAAGTACCTACAGGGCGGAGTAATGAGTAGATAAATCAATTTTGATGAAGGCATTACATTAATTTCAATGTTATTATTTAATAAGATTAATTTTATTTATGTTATACACACCTGACTGTGCGTGACATCATGAAGTGTATAAGAGCGCAACAAAGTATATTATTTCTTGAGATATTTCTGAGTATTTTTCGGGGAACTCGTATTCCAAACATATATCACTCTCGAAAAAAAGTATAGTATTCTTATGCTCTATGCTTGCGTTTATAGTACGTGGAATGGAATCAGAAATCGTAGTGCCTAAGCGTCTATTTAACAACGTAGTTCGATGCGTGACTTTGGTTGAGTTTGTACTGAGTGCAGCGTTTGAAATCAGTTTAATCGGTATTGTCTGCTGCGTTGCCCTTGATTTGATTTCGAACTGTGCTGAGATACTTTTTAATCTGTTCACCCTCAGATACACTTACATACGATATTTTTCTATTTTTCTATTTTTCTATTTTTCTATTTTTCTACTTTTCTTTTCTTGATTTTCTAATGTTTTTTTGAACAAGTTTTTCTGAGCACACGTCGCACCACTGCTCGGTATGTTTTCCGCACGAATTTGAAAAGCGACTGATTGTGAAGAGCACCAGCAGGAACACGCTACTCGCTTTTAACGAGATGAGTTCGCTTGATAAGCCAAATTTTCAATTCCCAAAAAAACTTTTCAGAAACAAACTCTCATTGATATTAGATTAAATTCGTTGAACATTTGTGAGCATTTATGCTTGTCGGAGCGGAGTGGAGAAGTTGTGTGCGCCCGTAGAATGTCGAATTCGTTGAAACCAAATTGGGCTGTCCATTTGTTTGGTGGCTGCCCTACGAGCTGTGGTTTCGTGCTCTTTATTGCTCACAGACGATAGATAACCCAAATAAGTGTATTTGAACATTGCAATAGACGTTCGCTAGATAAGATTGTACCGGTTACGGTGAAACGTAAGTGTTCGACGACGCGAATGGAAACAATTTTGTACTTTGGCAGTGCTTTTACAAAATACTTTGAACCCATGAGATTAGTCACAGCAGGCAACTATAACTGGAATGCCGTTGATATAAGATTTTGTTCAATTGCTATCTATTCAGACAACGTACAGAGTGTTTAGGAACCAATTAGCCCACGAGTGAGAGTGTAGCGCTGCAAATTGAATAGATTTTCACTTGTGTAAAGAAAGTTTCAGATGCAAGCAAATGCGCTGGAATCACTTTACTGCTTTACTGGGAGGGGAAACAAGAAGCAAGAGAGGTATATATGTAAAGAAAATAGAAGTCAAAAATAAAATAATTAAAAAAATTATTACATTTTCCATATTCAATTTGAATACGTGTGATTGTTGTGTGCAGAAAGGAAAGTTGAGTATAAAACGCAACAAAAGTCAATGGATAGTTTAGAAAACTTTTATCTTCAATAGTTCAGAAACAAAAAAGAAAAAAATAAAATAAACAAAAAGCAGATTATCTATTTAATAAATAAATGGCATGGAAGTATTAGTAATTTTTTTAAAAATACAATACAAGCCAAGAAAATGTTGGCAAATTTAACATTTTGGCTTATGCTTTCTTCTTCTCTTTATTGTAAGTAAATGGAGTATTAAGTTTATCAATATGTTTGTAACGCAGTGAACGAATCATTGGTGATCACCATGATTAGAACTAATAGGATAGCTATGCCTACTGACTAGTTTGTCTCTATTAACGAGACCCACAGTTTTTAAGTTAATTGAATGAAAAGCTGCACAGTGATTTCATGTGAATCCATATCAATTGAGTTAGCAAATGAGGGAATTTGAGACCATACATGTAAATTGACTGCTGAAAAAAGATTTCTATTTTTACATATACTATATACTTATATAATATATGTTATATAGTATATATAAAAGTAGATTTAATCTATTGGATTTGTGAACTTTTGAATATAGTATAAAAAATATATGTCCATTGGGTTTAAGAATATACTTTAAAAAATATGTGTCCATTGGATTATATATTATAGAATATACTTATTCAATATTCTATATATTTTTTAGCGATTATAGCTAACGAATATAGCTTAAGAAAAACACGAATGTCATGAATAACATAGACAGTGGCGTAACTACAGGGAAGCAACTGGAAGCAACGCTTTCGGGCCCCCGAATTTAGGGGGCCCCACTATAAATGTTTGTAAACGTTTTTTGTTGGAATAACTTCATATTGCATTTTATAAAAGATACGTTAATTTTAAATTTAAAGTACATAATATGTATGTACTTCAAATAAAATATTAAACCTATTTATAAAATAAAAAAGTTTTTCTAAGAAAAATATGTGTCTTAATCGAGAGTTTATATGGAAGCTATATCTAGATTTAAACCCATTTGAAAATAATTTTGTACGTTGTCTTTTGCAAATATCAGTACTGTATACACCAAATTCTATTTAAATACCTTTATTAAAAACGGAGAAACCTCATATCCGATTGTTAAATTTATATCACAGCTACAAGAAATAGACGTCCAATTTCAATCAAATCAAATGGTGAACAGGGTCGGCTAAAAGTATGTGTGTAAAGTTTCATTTGAAGAGTTCAAAACCTGAGAGTGTAGTTTGAACTGAAAAAGTATATATATACTGTACTGATATATACTTCATGATATTTCCGACGTTTCCTTTAATGCGTAACGAAAATCTTGACAAACCTTACATACCCTTTTCACATTTTTCGTGTAAAGAGTATAAAAAGAGGGGCCCCTTAGTATGTTGATAGGGGCCCCTTAGTTAGAATTTGCTTACAGGCCTAAAAAATGTAGTTACGCCACTGAACATAGACATTTGTGTGAACAAAATTGAGACCAAATAATTTTCAACTTTTTTTTTATAATATAATTGCTATTAGATCTTATAATATGGTAACCGGAGGTCTAAAAATCTTATGAAAATCTTGAATAATAAAATCACATTACTTTTGAAATCACTTTGATAATAAATATAAATATTTACAGTTTTAAAATTCTGTAACAATATTATTCAAACTTAGTTTCGTACAGTTTGAAAATAATTGAGTTCAATATAAAGCATACTACGATGGCACTGCAACTAATGTAAAATTATAAGTATGTCTAAGAACCATATGAGTACTGCATAACGGTCCTTGCAGAGACATACTTTGAACGTAATTTACACTGCGTTTCCAGCATTTAGCACAGAATCTAACAAAACCGTAATGTTACGGGCTTCGTTTGTGAGATAAAATACGATATTTGGTGATATTATATTAAAGGTTTTAGTATTTGCTATGGTTGAATAAAATACCGTATTAATGAAATTCATTCCCTACGCTCTTTGTAGATGCTCATTGAAGACCGTAAATGGTTTGTGTATGTGATCCGTTCATACGGTCCTTGTAGTTAGGACCACAGCGTTCGCTGAATTGTAAACTAACTGCAATACCAACTTTTGCCTTTGGCGGTACTCAAACTGTGCTTGTATAAAATCAACTGCAGAACTCGTCATTTTACAATAATTCAATGGGTCACTTGTTACAGTAAATTTCCGGGTTATAGTACTTCAAAGACTAACTTGCCTTTTATTCACTAGAAGGACCAGTTTTTTAATTTATTGCCGCCAGAATCCGTGGGTAAATTGAATTGCGTATCCATTCTCATGACATGAACAACCCGTCGAAGCCGTTATATGTTAACTCTCAGATTTATAACAATGTCGGTTGCGATAATCGTCGCCAACTTATAGAAGAACAAAGATCGCATGCAGAACTTTTCTTTCGAAAACTTTAGTGCTGCTTCATCTTTCTATGATATCGTATACATATTTGCACCATACAGGAAGACAGGTAGGATGAGCGACCTTTAAAGCAGAAGTTTTGTCTGTCGACAGAGAGCTCTACATTCCAATTGCTAATAGTAGCACCTGCTGACAATAGTGAGTACTCTTCTGAACTCCAAGCTTGTTGTTGTTTGTAACGACGTTGCCAAGGAACATGAAATTCTTGACAGAATCGGATGAAGAGTCACCAGGTACCAGTTCGGCGACGCATATTTCTGGCAGTAGCTGACATATACTTCGTTTCACTGCGAACCCCTTGGATCGAGTATCTAAAGCAATGTATATAATTGTATTTAAATTAGAAAATTCCAGCACAATCTTTCCGTTATCTAGATACTTAGCTTTCATTGGGTAATGTTCTAATAGTACGCTCAGCGAGTCTTATCCCCGGGACTTTAAGTGTGGGTTGTGCACAGGGTTTGACAACTGTCACATAAAATCAGTCGCTAGTGATGGACGTAAGTATGCTTTGAAATTGAAAACCAAATGTAGATGAAGTATTCCTTCTTCCATTCCAACTAAGTATTTCACTTCATATATTTCATTATGCTGTGTTTTTTATATATTTTCATATTTACGGTATAATTTTCTCATATCTGATAATTAAGTTGGTGTTTATGATTTTGCTGTCAGGCATTATTTCCAGTAGGAGCTCAGTACTTATCTAAGTGCATCATAACATAATTATTTTTATTTTTATCGTTTCATATGCTGTTATACCTTAAATCTGACTATTAACTAAATAAAAGACAAAATTTACGAACAACACAAAGACACAGTGCTTTCTGCATCGCACTCAGCTCCAACCAGTTGAGTCCATTTACCTATTTACCAACCAACAGCATTCCTAAATTATAATATCGCATTCTCAAAGAATTCTTTCAGATGCAATGAATTCTCTATGCTCGAAGCAGAATAGTTCAAGTGCAATATTTTGTTTAACAGAGTCATTCCAACAAAAGGACTAAGTGAATCCTTTTATTTGCAACTTATGGAAGAAAGTGCATGTGTGTTCACATTTTATTACATGTCATTTGTAGTTGTTGTTGTTGTTGTTGATGCTGCTGTTGTTATTGTTAGGGAAAAGGAAAATATTCATTGCATCAAGCAGAGAAGTAGAGAAGTAGAGAAGCTGAGAAGCTGAGAACGGTATGGAGACAAGCATGGAGTGCAACAATTAACCACAGGCAACATTGAGCTTAAGTGACTTAGAAGTCAATGTGATAAATTGTTTGGAATCAAAGTTAAGTTATGTTGACATGACTTAAGGTTCACTTAATTACAAACCATTTTTAAGTGGTTTCGAGTTAAATATTGCATATAGGATGAAGGGTCAAATATATTTTTCATGGCACCTTGAAGACTACAACCCACAAGTAAAGGCAAATGTTAGGGTAGGCTTTTCAGCACATGTAAATAAAGTGGATGGAAATTCTAGGAATGAGAAATTTTGGTTAATTTTAAACAGTACTACTAAGGAGTGAAAAAAAAGCAATTATTTATTTTGCAAATCAAAAAACAGTAAAAAATGTTGAGGATATTTTCTGAAATGAACAACATTGATCCATAAAATGATTCGTTCATGAGAAAAATGGTTCGTGTGTAGACAATAATTTAAAGAAAGTGCATTCTTTATCTCGATACATTTCTTTTGCTTAACTACTGCAGTGCAACTTAATTAGATATAGAATGGAAAAATATCATAAAAAACCTATTAAATTATTAATTAATTAATCATTTTAATTAAATAAGTTTTAATAAGAT